AAGGATGTTGCAGCTTACATACTTATTATGTTAAATTTTACTGCTCAAGGGTCCAGGAGACCACTTGTAAGACTAAACATCGGTTTAATGTGTGAATTCCCACTGCATTTATTGTTAATCTCTTTCTACAGTCAAGAAGGGCGTTAAAGATGTTTTCTCTCCATGATTTGCTACACGTCCTTTATGCCTGGGAATATAAATCTAGTTTCTGAGGATAGAAAGCGCTAAAGTGCAGATTCTAGCAGCCACCACCAGACCAGAGAGAACGTGGTCAGAGCAACAGAGGACTGCAGGCAAAAATAACGTGACTGCCCGGTGGAGTTTGATCTTCTGAGCCCCAGGGTAGGAGAGTGGGGTTTGGGAGGCAGCCGCAGGCTAGACAGAACATCAGACTGCGAAGGGACGTGTAGGAAACTCTCAGGACAGTCTCGTTCTTCACAGGCACTGAGCCCCACCGGAACCCCCAACCAGGGCAACTCCGGAATCAAATCTGAATTCGTAAGCTGACTAAATACGTCGATTGCTCCTTGCCACTGCTGCCCCCCCAGTTTTGGTAAACAGTAAGATTTGACCTATCCAGCGGCTTGAAATCCAATGGATCAGCAAGTTTATATGCAACAGCTTTTATGCAAACCAGATCTCGTTTATAACACTGAACGGTCTATTTTTATTCAAGATTCAGATGTTTACATTTTTGCATTTCTTTCACAGGCAGGCTATCTACCTACGTTCGCCTGAGCGCTACAGAGAAACTCTCTGTCTCCATGCATACCCTGCCGCGATCGCACTGCCGGGAAGCGTTCAGGCCAACATCTGCCAAGCTGCACTGGCTGTAGTTTAAGCAGACAGCAAGATGACAGCAAGCGACATTTAATTTAAGAGTCAGAGATGAACACATGACATATATTATGTCTACTGACCATTTCTAATTTAATCAAAAGTTCCCGACATGAACTTCTGAAAAATTACCATGTGTTTCCTCCCACCACTTCCATATCTTATTTCCACAGTCAGAAAATGCTTCCTGCCAAACTTCTGAAAGGGAAATGCAACTAAAGCAATAAACACAGCCCTCATAGAGCAGGTGAAACCCCCGCTGCTGGTCCTTAACAATTCTCTAGTTGGACTTAGTATCTCCTCTGTTAATACCAGGTATATTCAATTTATTTTTAATAGCAATGTTTGTTAATATTTTCTAATGTTTTATCTTAATATTGTAATGAATATTAATGTATCATTTTCTGGTATTACTAGGTACCTTATATTAATATTGCCAATGACTTTTCATATTGAATTGTATCAAATGAAACATTGCATTTAACCCACAACAATTTTTTTAACTGAAAGCTACAATATAGAATTGACTGTTTTCACGCAGAGCTGAAACATGTATCATAAATAAATATGCAGTCACATAAATACATAGGTATACTATTATATTTATAAACACATACATTAAAAGGCAAATCAGCTAAAAAGCTGTACCGCTATTTTGTGATTCCAGAGGGATTCAGGAAAGTCCAGCACTTGCCATGATCTAACTAAGGGTACATAACCATCTATATTTAGACACTTAAGTTTGAAAAAAGATCACAAACTGACTTAAGCTTTTCTCCTTTCTTTGCTGTCACTTCCTCATATAGCAAGTAAAAAACCAGATGTTTAGGAGACATTCTGCTTTTTATGTATCTGCTCCCTACGCTCTGCCTCACTGCAAACTTCCACAAGTATTTGCACGACATTGTGCCCAGCTTCTGAGCTGCAGAAGCGATTATTTCCCAACCCCTGCCCCTTCTGCTCCTGGTGGGACAAGTGGAAAGGCAGGCGAATGCCAAGCCCTTTGGGGGAAAAAGGAGGTGGCATCAGAAGACAGAGTGTGATTTTTTTTCCCTGGGGAACAAGAGTAGGCTGGTAGAGAGGATGCACAGGAGACAAGAGTTGACAGAGTTCACCTTGCACAGGCTGAACCCTTGTTCCAGCAAAAGCTTTGTCTCCTGGGCCTTCGGGGTCTTGGGCGCACAACTTGTCAAGCGAGAGCTCTGAATTTGTCTCAAACAAGGCGGGTTCTTAATTTTCTTAGAGAAGGTAACTTTATCAGCCAGAGGCTGGAGCATTCCCCTGGAACTGGGGCGACCCAGAACAGTAAGGGACTGGAGCCCAGCCTTCTCCCATCCCTCATGATGGTCTTGGTCACCAAAGTACGCGTGACTCCCCCTCACTGCGTCCCTGGTGTTTGGGTGTCCTTTGCTACATGCAAAGACTCTAAACGATGCCAGCCAAGATCCAAAAGGCTCCCTTTTGACTTCTGTGTCCATTAGACAAGGCAATGAGTCATCAGAAAGAAAAACCACTAGTTTCAATCCAGCAGCACAGAGAACACATCCAATACCCTGCCTTAAAACACAGCCAAGGGATGTATTTACTTCCCTTTTCAGCAGTCTTTCAGTAATTGGACTATTGCAGAACTGTTGTTTTGTTCATTACAAGCGTGCTTTTAACAGGGTTAAGCATGGAAGGTCTCTGCTTGCGGCGGTATCAGCTCACTCAGTGACGTTATCCGTCAAAAGGAGCAGCAATTCCATCTGTACAAGTCATCTCTCGTGGCCGGCGGGAAAACACACGCTGCCAAAATCAGATAATGGATTTGGAGTTCCCACAGGCAGGGGCTGGGACGAGATCCTGGGCAAAGTGTTGAAGGGATGTAGGGAGAAATTGGGCAAAGCACGGCACTCCCAGGAACACAGGTTCGCAGTGCCTGGCCTTTGGGCTTGATCTGATGTCTCCACCTTTTAATGCCGCTATCGTCCCTATTACACCCCCTTCACATAGTCCCAATGAAACTGTGTCACATCAGAGAAAATGTGGGGGTGGAGGAGATGCTTTAACTCTCAGAAAACATAGTGGATTTTTGCTTCATTACAAACATCCTGCCCTTTTAGACAGATACTTACTCTTAGCTCAGGGGCAGGGTTAATCATATAGGTGGAGTAGGCTCTTGACTTCATTTTTGACTTGGGAATTTCTGCAGATCTCTTACTGCCACACTCAGGAAATAGCTGAGTCTAGTGGTAAGGAGGACAAGAAGTCACTGGTTTTACTTGGGGATCTGAGGGGGAATTTTCTTTTTTTGCCTCAGACACGAATGACATTTCAGCTCATGCCAAAATTAGATAACAAAGCTGCAAATAGTAACTAAGAAAAGTGGGATCCCTAATTAAATTTTAATTGCCCTGTGTGTGTGCATACATACATAGAGACACAGAAAAAGAGAGAACCCGAAAGAACAGAATCAGCAAAACCTCGTTCCAAGTAAACTAGTTAAAGCTCCAACATCTACAATCTGATGCCAGTGAAACCACCCTGTTAACATAACATATACAGCACAATACAACATAAACAATAAAACATAACCTTCAGTACCTGGTAAAATCATCTCCTTCTTCACACCTTCAGAGAACTCAATGTATTTTTCAGTAAGGCTCTCTAAGACGTACAGCCAAGGAGAAGCACCATTAGGAGTCAGAATCGGTATCTTTTGCTGACTCAATACTCAGTAAGAGGTTAAGAGACACAAACTTGGTGGTATTGTTTCTTGGGCCAGCTGACATAGTGATGGGAAACAGATGAATTTTCATCACAAAGTTGCTTTTATCAGGTATGTGAATGACAAATGGTACACGGTAAACCATAATAAATTATGGGCAAACTATTAAATTGTTATTATAAATAAATTATAAAGCTTTACATGCTAAAGATAATTGAGTTCTTATGAACTCCTCACAGTTGGGGAGAAGTGCCTCTGGAAATCCACACATCGCAGAAACATGAAGCTTTCAGGTTCGAGATGACAAGCAGCAAAAGTCATCATGGTCAAAAGGATGTTTTTACAGCACCGAAACAGAACGGCTTCTCCTAATCACACGCACTCCAGATGGGTTAAAAAACCAAATCTTCATTTAAGCACCACATCAACATTTGAGCCCAAGTCTTCCCTCGAAATTCTCTCCCTCGTAAGACAATATCTCTACCAGCCACAGCAGATAAACACTCAGCATTCATGCAACCAGGTCCTTTCACAGAAATGTCTACAGCAGTGCCAGAATACGCCATGTCATTTCCCTTTGATAAGACCTACGGTTACGGTCACAGAAAAAGGTTACAGAAAAGACTTATTAAAAATATCTAGACTTACAAAGGAAACAATAGCAGTTGCATTCAGCAGGTCATGCTACTTTGTCTGCATACAAAGCTCCCTCTGTTTATCATTCATTAACTTGCGTGGCATGAAAATTGCAGGCATGATTTTCAAAGCTGTTCAGAATTTAATATCTGCTTCCCCGAGGAAGCTTTGAATACTGCAGCCTCAAGTCCTTTACTGAACAGATCGCAGTAGAGATGAATTTACTTTGTCAGATGCCACTTGAACAGAAAAAAAGAAAAGAACAAAAAATTAGAAGCATTAACATCAAAATAATGCTGAGATAAAATCCTGACCCCAGTGAAAAAGCTTTTCAGTGACTTCAGCACTGCCCAGTTACCACTCCAGTGGCTTAAAATGAGATAAGTAGAAGCTATCACCATAAACGGAGATAAGAAATTAAATATCCCAAGTCGAGATCTAGCATCCTGGCAAAGAACAGTTATTACCCTGAAGAAAATAATAAAAAGGTACAAGAAAAACGTAACTGAAACGATCATGAAGTTATATTATCCATCAGGAAAAGCACAAAATTTACAAAAGTCTACAAAAGAAATTGGAATGCATGGCGATTATTTACATATTTTAACAAATTGATACATTACATCATTTGTAGCAGCATAATTCCCCGTCACCTAGAAAGGAGTTTCACAAGAGCCATGTGACTCACTTTACTGCAGCTGGGGAAATTCCTCTACTAACGCAATCTACGTGGTAGCAGAGCACACGTGCGGGGCACAAAACAGTATATAAGCAAATGGATCGTCCGGACAGGGCATCAGCAATCCTCCGGGACAAGAGAGGTCACTGCTCCGCAGAACCAGAGCTAAACAATCCAGCGAAAAACTCCTGCCTAATCATGAATGGCAAACTTGTGGCTGTCCTGGCTCTTTTCCTGGTTTCAGCGGCGATGTCTCAGGGTAAGTAAATCCCTCCCGAGATCCCCGTGGCTGTCGTACTGCCCAGGCATCTGCCGAGATGCTTGTCCTTGCAGAGAGGTAGCTTTATATTTGTTTCAGCAAATTAGTTTCTTTTGAGAGGTTTTCAGCAATTCCTCTTCAGTCAGAAATCTACCAAGTAGCCCTTGTATAGAAGAGTTACTGACATCTTGTGGGAAAGATTTTAGGGATGCAACTTTAATTTGCTTTGTTTCCATGTTTCACTTGAAGCGTATGCAGCTAGAGACAGGATCTTCTTCTTAGGTGTTTCAGTGTTCCTCTCCCTTCCCAAACAGAGAACAGTTTATGAGCTCGTATCTGTTACTTAATGATCATACTGCCTCAAACAGCTGGGAACGGAGAACAAACAGCATGCACACAGAAGCATGGGCAAGCCTCCAATTAACAAAAAAATCTAGGGCTCTGTCTCCTGTATACTTGCCAGTTTGTCGATCCAGATATTAAAACGGTGCAGCTAACCGTACAGTGTGGTCAGTTCAAGTAACCACGGAATACGTGGGGTTATTTCAAAAAGATGTGTTAACCCAGTTTGAAATGTACTTGGGCTTCAGCTCCTCTGAAGCAAATAAGGAACTGATCTTTATACCGTGAGGATTTAGGCAGCTTGGGCAAACGCAGTATTTTAATTGAGAACGTTGTTAAAATAGAGCAGTCGTGCTTTGTGTCTGATATAGTGATGCTAAGACCGCCTCTCAAACCACGATCTGCATTTTCTGCTCACAGGTAGGACCCTGGCAAGGATGGCCACCGAGCTCCGGTGCCAGTGCATAGCCACTCATTCCAAGTTCATCCCTCCCCGCTCCATTCAAGATGTGAAGCTGATACAGAGCGGCCCCCACTGCAAGAACATTGAAGTCATGTAAGTAACTGCAAGAGCCTCCCTCCTCTTCACCGCCGCCGCCGCCGCTGCTGCCGCCGCACCGGGGGCTTTTACGCTTCCTGACAAGCGCGACAGCTAGCAGGCTGACACGATGTAGTCAGATTTCGTTATTCTTTTGGGAGAGACAGTTTTAAGTAATATACCATGTTTTTAATCATCTCTATGGCCTTACGTATTCCTGAACTGATCATTATTTATTTGTCATGGGACATATTAAATATTTCTCGTGGTAGAACACAGATTTCAGGGACTGGTCAGTTCTTAATACACGAGGTAATAACGTAGTTTAAATCCTGCACTTATTAGGCAGGCAAAACTCCCATTAAAACAGTCTGTGTCAGTCTCAGAGAGAAAAATTAGGTTCCCACAAGCAGATTTAGGGAAACAAAGAAAATAATCTGGCCTTGAAGAGCATGGAGGAGGGACTAAAATGTTGAAATCCTTATACTGCTGAAACACCTTTTCAGCACTGGAGGTTTCAGTCTTGTGTAAGAAAGCTTTGCTAATGTAAACAAATTCAAACCAAGTACCCATATACATTGAGAAAGATTTTGGGAACGTGTCGCTGCTTTGAGAGCAGGCACACAGACTCACACAACTTCCGAACGGTCTTAGTCTCCTCAGTTGTGGAACACATGCAACAAAATGGCCAAGCCTAACCTAGAGCAGTTGGGATGAATTTATACTAACTAATCTAAAAATGCAGTGTTACGTTCTGTGAGTAAAACAAGTCCATGTAGTAGTTTGCTGACTTTTCTTTATTCCCTGTTTTGCAGAGCTACTCTGAAGGACGGCAAAGAGGTGTGCTTGGATCCCACTGCTCCCTGGGTACAGCGGATCATAAACGCCATTTTGGCCAAGTAAGTCCCATTCCCTCTCAGTTTGGGCAGTTGAGTGGTAAACCTCCCAAAAAGGCCAATTTGTAGGATTTCTTAGTGATACTTTCCATGTTCTCTTAATCAGATTTAAACAACAAGGAAACTTGCTGCTAAATTATAGAATTAGTCTTGGGCTTTCTGGCTCTGCTGCAGGGTCCTTGCTCAAGCCGGTATATCACTGCTAATGTCCGAGTACCGGCAACTCCGTCTGGAGGGAAAGGAACACAGAAGCGCTTGGCTCCCTTTGAAAAATGAGGCTTTAGAAAAAGAATCTTCCCCTCACTTACAGTAGCATACGTTAATAATTCCTGTTGCCCCGTGAATGAGTTTCTTGATGCGAGTTAATGCAGAAAGTCATGCTGCAGAAGTTTCCTAGGGGGGCACCAGGTATGCACCCACCGGGATTTCAGTAATCGCTTTCGAAGCGTCACCTTTATTCTCTCTATGCCTCAAGGCAGCACACAGAGTTAGAAACAGACCGCTCGGCCTTAACCGTTCGTGCAATGCTAAGCAATGATAACCGCTATTGAACCTATTTTTAAATTATCCTCTTCCCTTCACCTCTTCACAGGGCTCAGCTCAATTCTGACTCACCACTCTAAGAAACACCAAGACAGAAAAAATCTGGGAACCACTCCCGCTCCTCCGTTGAGAGAAACGGTTGGGAAAGGCATCACTCAGGCAGTGTACCACCTTCCACCTCCTGCGTCAGTGTTATCATGTTAACTATGGATGATTTTATTTATTTATTTATTTAACTGCACCTATTTAAGAAAGCCTTTCCAAATGGTCATTGTTGTCTGTGGGACACGGTGTTCATTAACACTGAAAATGCTGAATAGGAAAAGTGGTTTGCTAAGGGAAATGAAGAACCCTTGGCAGCCAAACGCAACTAGTTAAGTGCAATGCACTTACAGCACAGCTTATTTATGCTAAGCCTTACTATTTTGCTATTACACCAGCAAACCGATAAATTCTCCTGCTCCCCTGGAGCCCACTAGTATGTTGTGTCAACAACAGTTTCCTGAACTAGCCCGTGGCTAGCCTGTCAACTGTGATTTCTGACTTTAAAAATCTAGCCTAAAGAATCTGTAAGACAGCGTGTCTGGTATTTTTTTTATCGTGATTTCCATGGTATTTATAAATGTATTTATTGAGTAGTTCATTGAGATAAAATTATGATTATTTATTTCACTTCTACTGGATTTTCTATTCCTATTACTAATTTATTAAGAAATATAGACAATCTCATTGCTCTGTACAAGGACTTGGTTGTATGTCTAATTAGGTACTCAATCAGCTAATGGAAAAAACTGCATCTTAGATATGCAGAATTTGCTTGTGAGAGTGTAATTTTTCCTAATAATGTATTATTAAATGTTTCCTACAAAAAATCTGTTTGTTATCTGTTTGTTGTTTTATATTTTAATTTGCTTTGTTGGGAAAGCGTGCTTCCTTTTTGCCACCACAGCCTGATTTCTGGAGCTGAAATGAAAATTTTTAGTACATGGTACCATAACTCACCCTGTTACGGCAACCTGCACTACTGAGTGCAGTAACAAACTCTTAGGGTAGGGCAAAATGCTCACTCTCCTCTTTTCAGGCTATTCCCAGTCCTTGGGGACTGGTGGGCTCCAGGGCAAGGCTCCTTATTTAAGTACCTTGCAAACAAGCGAATTTTCCCCTCGGATGCTGAAACACTGCCAGTGTCCAGATCAGCCCCAGAGTTCTAAATCTTCACTACATCAAAAGGCCGCTATTTGATTATCAAAATGGGAATTTGTGACCTTCACTTTGGGTACCCAAATATCAAGCATTTGCCCTTGTGTAACAACTGCTTCCTATTCGGATCCCCGAAATGGAAAGCACCGAGCACCCGGTGCCTGCCTCTTTTAAAAGGCCTGGCTATTCCTCGCCACTGCGCACAGGCACCGATGCTGAGCCCCTTTGGGAGAGAAGCACTCATACTGCATATCAACAGCGAGGAAGGATTCTGGCAGATAAAATGGGATGCTTCCCATTGTTACCACCCCATCTCCTGTCCCACGGGGGCTGTTGGAGAGCACAGCTCTCGTAGGTGTAACGCGTCTTCCCGTAAGAGTCCCGGCGCAGTTCATAAGACAGTGGCATAACACATCCAAGCTTAACAACGCTCTGAAATCATCAGCTCAAAGTGCAACAGCGGCCAAACGAAAGCCAGTGACATGTTGCGCATCTTCCAGAAGGGAACTGAGAATAAGAGACAGAGGGCATAGGTTTAAAGCCTATTGCTTTAAACTACTGTATACCTGTTTATTTGAGGCACTCATGCTTTTATTTCACTTTTACCCATGTTCTAGATAGTCTTAAAACAGCAGAAGTATTTTTGCCAGGTAACTTTGCGATTATAAAATGAGAGAGCTGTCTTTGGCTTGCTTCTTCTTGAAGACCCTTTGCAGTAAGATCAATGTCAGTCCTCTCCTCGACCCATAATATTTTGGCATCGGTTTGAGGTGGTCAGCCACGGGAACTGTAAACAACGTGCCCTCTGGCCCTCCAGTTATCTGGCCATGCAGAAGCCATAGGAGAAAAGTGCACCCTTTGAAAACATGTGGACTATTGAGTAAGCGTCTCAGTGTGTGTGCGCACGCCTTCGCGTCTGTGTAACATACCAGAAAGCTGACCGGGCGGTGAGTAAGAGTCAGGACATTTGCACCACAATGGAAGGAAGGACCCTGAAATTTCACTGCAGCTAACTCTGTGTGCTTGTCCGTCTTCTCCTTTTCCCAATCGCATGTAAGCTTCTGCTCCCCTTGGCCACTTCATGTAGCATCTAAATTGTATTTCTACAACCCTGCCAGAAGGCCATTCCACGTTACGGCTGCCACGTGTATTCATCATCCTCCATTCACTTCTCTAGTGCCCTCCTCGCAATTAAATGTAGCAGAAGTGTTTACACGTCCTTTCTGTCCTCGGCTATTTTCTTGGTCCCTTAGTTCATCTTCCTTCCAAACCACTTTCACTTCCTCTTTCAACAATTTCAGTTTGGGGACAAGAGGACAGTAGCAACAACCGACCAACTAAGCAACAACCTCGTGTCATATCCTTATCCTCAAGGTCCCCCTCCCATGCCTGGTTGCTGTAGTTCTGCTCTAGTATCGAGAGAGCCTTTCAGTCACGAACTGTAATTTGTTCCCTTGAGTTTCAATGTTACTGTTTTTATAATACCAAAAGTACATTTCTCTCTAATGTATAAATGCTGCAAACCATAGAGGTAATCATTGGAAGAAACACTGGAAAGTCCCTGAAAAATACTTTTAACTCTTCCTTAGAAGAATAGAGAATACAAACACTGGTTTGCTGGCCTCCGCTTCTCTATCTAATATTGACTAATACAAACATCCGGGTTATGTATCAGGTGACAGATGCATTTTCTGTGCTTTACTTGCTTTCGTTTATGGATTGCTTCCCATTGCACTTCTTATCACACAACATGGGAAAATCCCAGGAAAATTACATGTAGCGCTGGCTTGATATTGCAGGGTTGTTCCAAGCTTTGCATTTATTCTTGTTTATAACAGGGTATTATCAATGACTCCACAGGAAACGGATCCTTTAGAAATTATACAGACTGCTATGGAAACGTCTGGGTCAGCAAGCAGGCATTTTGTTTCTGTGTGCAAAAGCGAAACAAGAATTTTGCCACCTATAAAAATAAAACCGAGATCTCTGTTGTTGAAAAGCATTGAGAAAATTTATTTTTATTATCACCTGCAGTTAATTATTTTTGATAATAACTATTGGTGCCAGTCAGTGCACAGATGACTTCACGATTTCTGTGGATTTCTAGAGAGGAAGATACTATGCGTGGAAGGATCTGCAAGGTAGGCTGAGAACCTAAGCGCAATTCGGAAATTACAAAAGGATTAAGCTGTTTTCCTTTAGTCAGATCTAATGCTCAGCAAGAGTTCAAGTACAAACTCTGTACTATTACAGCTGCGTATCTACAGTACTTACAACGCATTTTCTTCAAACCCATCATACTTTTGACCCGCTCAGCATCTGGTGACAATGACTTCTACCGTTTAATCACACGCTGCAGAGGTACACACACCTTGTTGCTTTCAACATGACACGTTGAAAGCGATACAATGTTCTCATTTTCTATTATTTTTCCCCACAATTCCTTCCTAAAAGCTTCCTAAATCTCTAGATGCCTTTTTGACTGCCATAAGACACTGTTCTATAAAAACATCAAACCTGTGACACCGAGACCTATTTCCTCAGTGGCAATAGCTCATTTACTATTCCTTCTGCGCATATACAGTTAGGTTATAGGTATAACTGTGCTCACTAAGTTTCATCTGCCCTTTCATGAAACGGGCAGCATTGTGATATCTTTCTACAACTTTCGGCAAGCAGATTTCAACATAACTATGCTCAATAATCTTCCATCATTAACAAACATCATTTATTGTCAACAATTACCAGCCTCTGACAGGTCCAACGATCTTATCCCATGAGAATTAAAATTCACGAGGAACATGACAAATTTTTCAGAGAAAAACCAGTTGTACTAGGTTGACCAGATCCCACTGGCCTGTATCTCCTCGGACTCAGCCAATGTCTCCAGCAGATATGTGAAGTAAGACTTCTCCCTCCAAAGAGTGCATTGGCAACTCGAGTATCAGTCTACCAATTTCTCCTATTTCTTACTGCAAGATAGGTGAACTGGGGAAAACCTATTATTTTTTCCTTTTGCAGAGCACTATTTTTCATACATATACACCTTACAAAAAATCTGTGGAAATAAGGGGTCATTAGACAAGTAGCTCGTTTTGAGAGCACATTTGGACCCAGTTAATCACCTTACCTCCAAATAAGCCTTCAGTTTTTGAGAAGACAGCGGAAAGAGGAGAGTTAAGCAGCTTATCTGACTCAGCTAATGCAAAATGCCAGAATGCCAAAACCAATTTTTAAGCACTGAAGCAACACTCACACTAAGCTCCTGCAATTAATGATTTCTAGCTTTTCCTGGCAACTCTTTTCCCGAATGATGAAAGCTCCATAGCTCACAAGAGCATCAAGTGAATAAGTCCATCCTCTTAGCCTGGCTTTTTTTATTAAACATATATATTAGGTGTTTCCACAGAAATAATGAGCCTTCAAAAATACTGACAATTCTTCTTTTCCTCCGCTTTTTTTGAAGACACTTTTTTCACAAGATTGCAAGCAGACAAGAGAATCAGAATTCAACTGTCCATGCTAAAACCAAAATGTCAACACAATTCTAAAAGTTTGAAATACTCACCATTCCCGTGCACCTTTAGGGAACTCCTCTGTAAATGTTTCCGTCGCATTTGCTGACCTTTTTATTACGTAAAGATGTCATGGAGGAGGGAGCCTGCTCTCGCATCCAGGGGCATGGACACACATTTCATCTTTTTCTCTACCACCAAGTCAGGGCAATGAGTGTATTTATGGTTCTTGGATTCCTATCTGTTTGCTGACAGTTTTGTTTTGCTATCAAAGTGGGATCAAGACACGAGTGTGAAAATGCTGAGAGGATCTTGAATGAAGTACGCGCATTCCCAAGATTAAGAAAGGAAAATGCCGGGCCCCTGGGCTCCTGCTCACCCCTCTGCCCTCTAACTACGCTTGTGCCCGTGACAGCCCGTTCAGATTACCTTGACGGGACAAACAGGATTAGAAGGCTGCGTTTGCTCCACGGGGGATGCAAGCCCAGAGTTTCAGGGGATTGACTTGACCATGCTCGCTGTAATAGAGCTGAG